AAATGTCTAATATTAATTTATTTAGAATATTTATATAACACATATCACCCTGAATTAAAAAAATACACTTCAAATTTTAAATCACCAACACACGCAACGCCGATGCTTCTGATTCCCCTATAATGCACCAAGTAGGACCATCGCAACCTCATTTTTATTTTTGTTCCTGCTTTGGTATGTCGAGTTTTGATCACATGGATAGTTTTGTAATTCTCATAATAACATTATAAGAAACGTTTAATATATACTATAACAATACTTTTGCCTTGACAAGACTTATCGGATTTGCACACTGTGTATGCTTACTTGTGAAAAGTTTCGTCTTTTATTCAAACACTTTTAATCAAAAATATCAAAATTTCTGTTAACACATGGAAAACGATTTGAACTAGATTTTCGGTTTATAAACATTGTAGAAAATACAATTACATTATTTCAGATGACCGGGAACCTATACAGACGATATAGGCATACCGATTTAACTATCCAATTAGTACAAAAACAAGTGTGGTGGAAATTAAAAAAAAAAAAACAAAAACATCTATCAGCTTCGTTTTAGCTTACATTTGTTTGTTTGTTTTTCTTATATCACTTTCGTTGCTTAAAGATAGTATCAAAATTATTATTTTTTATTCTTTATCTTTAAGAAAAAGAAGATAAAAAATGCATTATACGAGCCGAAAATTGTGAGAGAAATTTAAAATATTAAGAATATATTTATACAAAGAATGTGATAATAAACACATATATAACTAGAAAGTGATAATTAATACAAATACTTTACCTGTTCAGCATTATGCGAACATTCAAAGAATAAATGCAATTAAAATAATAGACATAAAAGAAATATGTGCTTCAATAAAGACTCTCTAATGTAGGGACATATCTTCTACTTTTCTTTTATAACAAAATCATATATTTTTTTATTTCAAGAATTTCGTTCCGCTAATGTCTTTCTAGGGATTTTACAAACAAATAAATAATGCAGTTTGTTTTGTTAAATAGGCTTGTAGCCAACTGTTAAATTATCATTTGCGTATGTCCCAACAATTTGTTCTCGACCATTTTGGCAATATATATGAAATAAAAATATTTACTTCAATAAGAGAGTAAAAGTTCAAATTCTTGAAATAAAAGAAGATGTGTTCAGTGAATTCACATTAAGGTTTAGAAAAGGAAAGCTCATTTGGCTCGTTAAGTGACCATGTGTGTCATTAATAGCTATTATCTCGATGTTTACATGGCAGAGTCAAAGGTTCAAGCTTAATGAATCTTTAGACATTTTAATTTCATTGTGAAGTCAACATGTTGTAAAACCTGAAGGCAGATGTGCAGTTATTAAAATTGATGCCTTGAAGGTAAATTTAATTGAGCTCGAAACATACCAATAGGAACACATACAACATTATTTTGTCTTAATAATCTGTCACATGTTCAAACTATTATAGGACTTCAAGGCATTTATAGCATGTTCTAAACTAATTCTTTATTACAATTGACTCCATCTTAGCAGTGTTCAAAACTCCAATTGTCGCATTATATTTATTCCTCAAGAACGCGGCCGTTATTAAGGTTTTGGGGCTGTTTTGTCCTTGTGAGTCATGGTGAACGCTACACTAAGTTACTACTTTTGTTAATTTGCATTTCGTTTAATGTCCATCATTTTCATATCTTTGACCAGCTAGGTCAGTCAATTCGTGTCTGCAATCCTCACTTTCAGTTTTGTTTTTATTGCTCTTGGGAAGCATCTTTTTTGCAGATACTTACAACAGAAGTTCTTCAAGGACAGGTGTGAAATATTATTTGTCTCTGTTTTGAAGCTGTCAAATGAATGTCTCATGTAGCACTGGTCTGTCTCATAACACTCTCTGGCAATTAGATTATGAGATTTATGGTATTCTATATACCGTATATATCTATACAAATGTTCAAGATTCTCAGACAGTCATATTGCAGATAGATGATTAATTACTCAATGGTTTTATTTCCGTAATCTTTGGCGGCAATTTGATGTTATTATTTCATAATTCCTCGAGAACATGAATAGCATCGTGGAGACTTCGTTGGTTGTTTGTTGTTGTTTTCTTTTGCGTGATACATCGATGTAAGTATGTTATAGTCGTGCTAAACTTATCATTTTGTTTTCTAAAACGCTTGGTCTATGACAACATATTTAATGTCTTACATACACAGAACTGCGTACAGATTTATATGCCTAGTCGGTAGCGCAACGTGGAAAGTATCCCCATATCTGACACCGTATACTACAATCAGGTTCGAAAAAAGGCGAGAACAACTTCGGTGTCAGTACGATATAACCCGACATAAATAGTCGTCAGAATCGTTATGCATCTAAATGATTATACAAAAATCTAATAAACTGTACAGGTTGTACAAATATGAAATAAGAATGGATATAAAATAGTTCCACTGTCAGAAATAATGTTATCTATGACTGAAGCGTAAGAATAGAATCAAACATTCAGACGTTGTTCCCACTGGCAACCAACTATTCTCTATGTACACCTGTTTACACCATGCTGTATTTGCTTAAGAGACAAAAACGTTTTTGAGTACAACAACCCATTCTTTATAATCTCGTATACATATGGTTACTGTTTCTTTGGTCAGTGGAGATATCAAATCATGTGTCAAACTAGCATTAGTGATGTCTTATAATCCTCACCTCAACTAGTCGAAAATGAAAACAGAAAACCACTTATTAGTTGACGGAAACAACAGATAGTGCATTCCCTTCCTAAGATACCATAGATCTACATTACATGATTATAATTGATCAATGCGGTTGGCTAACGTGTTTTAACCCCGAACACAGTTTGTCACACTTAACGTTTGTCTTCCCCTCCAAATCAATATTTCTTGGAAAACTAACAGTTATTTACCAACACCCCCACGTGACCAAATACTATTCCCGCATGATTTCTGAATCTGCGGTGGGAGAGAGAAAATAACCATAAGACTCAGACTTAATGACCTTGATCAATTGTCAAGATGACACTATGCCCTATTTGAGGATGGAACCGATGACACGGTGTAATATTTTAATATTATTCAGACATTATTTGCTTCGTTGTCTTATTCAGAAACACATCTCCTCATGATTGAAATTTAAAATGGAATGAAAGCACGAAAACCTTGGAAGGTGAAGACAGAAATATAATACGATAAAAATACAAATTATTTTCGTTTAACCATCATTTTACAAATAACATCCTCAACATAATAAAAAAAAGAAAATAATAACGAAGAGAGAAAAATTAAAAACATGAAATGACGAATAGAAAGATCGGTATACAGTCATGATCCCCAGACAAATATATTTAGCAGTAAAGACACGCTTCTTGTTTATTTTTACAATCAAGACATGTTAGGTATGAAACTGTAGGGCAGCCAAATAAACATGCTGCGTATCTGACAGGATCAATTACTAAAATTGATCCTAGCATGTTTACTGCTGTAATCGTCTGGTCCAGATATTGCTTATTTGGAAATAAAAAATGTATATATGCGCTAAATTGTATATAACACAACAGGTAAGAACATGAAAATTCATTATTTAATATACTAGTTAATATCTTTAATCAATGTAAAACCTTAACTTATCTTCAAATCTGGACAGAACCAATGATCGTTTTTCGGAAAAATTGATTTTTTCCTCCAAATATATACTGACGAAAAAAGCGAACAGTGCAGACAGTGAACGGATGTTCCGGTCGATCTATACTACTCATGGTTTGCACTGTTTGCATGGCATAGACCATTTTGCCAGAAAGAGGCTAGAGGTTACAACATATGTACTTACTTATGTGAAACAGTTTTACGTATTCAAACAGGAAATACTATGATTTCTGTTTCAAAAGTAACAATCTATGGATATTTGTAAATAGTAAAGAAAGACACGTATGCAGCTTCAAAGCATAATGATGTTATAACTCAAATTTTGCTTTGAGTTTAATTTCCATAATTATTGTTCATACAGTTCTATGTATGATAATCATCAATTTATATATACGTACGTTTGTATTTTTATTTCATCAAATGATTAACATAAAGAATTGAAAAATATCCACAAATGTATGATATTTTCATACAAATTTGAATAAGTATTAAATGATTGTGAATGACCTGAATTTGTTATTTTGAAATAACTTGAAATCTTCCATTAAATATTTCCAGGTTAGATTTCAACTGTTACACACATTTACCGATACCCTATTTTCTAAAAAGTGGCAATTCACAATGTTCATTTGTCATAACATTTTACTTTTTTAAAAATGTTTTGTTTCAATGCAGAAGATTCTGTGTTTGCTAAATTAAGTGTAAAATCCTGGTAACTATACGGATAACGCATCAATTTAGAAATTTTATTTCTATAAAATGATGTAGGATTTTTATGACATTTAGCTCTTAATTACAACAATAATTCTATTTACTATGTTATGTTGAATCTAATTGAAAAGTTAGAAAGTAATTTAATGATTTACTTATGTTTAATATATCTCAGTATAATTACTATGAATACTTAAATCATTTTGTTTTACTTTATAAATTATAATTATCAACCACTTGAAAATCTAAGAGATAATTTTTTACAATACTTGCCCAATGCCCCATATTTGCTCGAGCAATGACCCTTGAAAACTTAGAAACCCAAGTTTAGCTGCAAACATTTTCAGTGTTTGTCATGCATCTGGTGATTTTTGATGTAATCCTTATTAATTTTATTCAAAGTTGATAAATTAATCACGCAATTGCATGTATGAATGAGTAACCGACGCACAAACCTGAACAAATTATAAATTGAAAGTTTGAATAACTATACTGTTATGTAAACTTTGTTTTAGCGAAACGAAAATAATGTTTCTTTGTAACACATAACTGCACTTTTCAGTTGTTTAATTGATAATCGCACGCATTTGTGCACGCATAGGCGTTTTTGTCCATATTGATTTATTGTGTTTTTTACTGTTTTAAACGATAAAATAGAAAGTGTCTCGCTTTTTCTGTCAGAATTATAATTAATTAAGAATTATCATCGGATTTTGTTCCGAAATTCGTCTTAAAAGGAAAAAAAGTATGTTTTGTTTATAGTGGAACTTAAAAGACTTACGATATCTTTTATTTGTTAATTTTATCATAGATAAAATGACTCAGGTAGAAAATTAGTTTAAATCAAGGGTGATTTATCAGACTATCAACGTCGTGTATTTAGGATAAGAGGTAGACTGTTGCGGGTTAATGCGACTAATTTAGCTTAAATTACCACAGTAACAGGAAAATTTCTCCATCAGTGTATAGGTGAAGTTTGAGAGACGAATACCTGCCAATGTAGGTATGTGAAGATAACGGCATGGATTATAGACACCTATGTTTCAATCAGTGTTTTGATTTAAAGGAATACGTGAGATGTTTGAGAGGGCTAACGGGATTAATTGATAAATATTTATATTTAAATCATCTATATTGATCGAAGTGTTTTAACGCAAATTTGAAATTTCACGAATATAATGTTATTTTTTCTTGCTGTGTATCTGTAAATATGAAGGATTTAGTGATATATTAAATTCGAAAATATATGGCATATAGTATTTTGATAAAGAAAGTTTAAAATAAGATTAAAATATGATTTTGACAGTCATTTTGGTCCTTCAGACGGCAGGGACATTGTTTGGTGCACAAATTTTACCTGACCCTGATTTAAAAGCTATACTTACAGGAAAGAAGAGAAATGGAATTAGTCTCAGAAAAAGGAGTAGATTTAATGAAGAAAATAAAAGTGATTCGAGAGGGAATACAGATGAAAATGTTCCTGAAAAATGGCTTGTAGATGCGGTAAGAATGTTATTAAGTGAAATATTAAAAGCGTCAAAAATAAAACGAACTCTTTTAATTTTTATTGATAAAACTTATTACCACTTATTTTCCTTTATTAATAATATTGCCAAGAAAATACATTAACGCTACAATTGTTAAAAATTTATTATTATCATTTTACTGAATAAAAAGATTCAATGTAAATTATTAAACTGCAGTAATATCTTTTCAAAAAAGATCAATACGTCCATGCTCTTGCTTAAATGCTGACCTGTAAAAAATGTATTGTTTTTAACGATTTCTTTTAATTTAACAATAGACATTTATTTTTGAGCCAGCATAGGACAGCTCCATTCTGAAAATAAACGAAACGAGGTTATAAGTATAAAATCGGAATACACCTGTCTATTTTTTTATAGCTATTCATCTGTATATGTCACATTGACAATTCTTGTACGGCTATTGAAAATTGTTTTTCAAGGCACCATACCTTAATAAGAATGTATCCTTTATCAAATAATTTTGTTACGGAAACTGTGTTTATTAATTCTAAAACACAAAACTTCCTTGCAGCCATAAAGTATTCATTTATTTCGTCAAAAATGGCCACGGCTATTGATATGATATTATTATGTTTAATTCATGTATATAAACATTAAACTATTTTTGTATGCTTTTTGCGCTTTCAGTTAAAATCGATATAATACGTTTTTCAGTTTATTATTGCGTCAGGTTAAAAAGCAATATATTTTCATGCACAGATAAAAACTATTTTGTAAAAAAAATCTCAAACCTTTAGATGAAACAAATGAATGAAAAAGAAAAAAATTAAAACGTAACACAAAACGGGACAAAGCTATGTAAGATAGTTCTACTATGAAAAAAAAATTCTCCTGTAAATCCGCTTAACGCACTGAGGTTCCTCATTGCCAGACAAAACTATGTGTTATTGTAAATCCTACGCAAGGTCAAACGTTGAAGACAGATGTGCGAACATAAAATGTTTATTGACAATTGTCTGATAGAATGATTGCCAACTAGAACAAACCGTCTGCGCCTTCTCTACAATTTATATACAAGATCAAAGCGACGTTTCTCTTTAACTTCAAATCTAGATTTTAACAATTTAAATGAAAAACTAAAATCTTAGATAACCGGTACTATATAGATTAAGAATCTTTCTAGACATATTGGTTTTTCAGCGATTTTTACTTGTGCAATTATTTAATGTTAAAATGATGTGCATTCGATTTTGTCATGTCTTTTTTTATTTCTAATTACATGATCGACGATAATGCGCAAATAATGTCCTGTTAGTGTCGATTGATAATATATAGGTGATTTGCTCGTTATAAGAAAATATGCTTTCATATAAAAAATATATATATTTAGCGTCTGCCCTGTCCTGTTTTTTTTTTTTTTTTTTGGGGGGGGGGGGTCCGCCTGGGCTCCTTGCCGCTGGTTCTTGTTGCTGGGTCATATGGGGGTTGCGTTCAATGAACGCCGCCTTTCCTTGTTGGTCTTGTTTATCATATTTTAGTTTCTCTAACGACAAATGCAGGCAATGTTAAGAATATCATATTTTATGTTATAATGAATTATTGTAGATTTTTTTCAAATCATTTTCACCAACATCAAATTGTTTTAATCGGAATATTTGAATTGTTTTGTAAGTAACTTCATGAGAGAAATGACTTTTCAATATGAAGATGAAATTAAACAGTGTATAAATGAATATTGTGAATTTGCTTTGCAGATGGTATGAAAGGAGCTATACTGAGATCAAATTCTTACATTGATCAAGTGAAGCAAATAGCAGAGAAAAAAAAATCGAACCGTACTAATTTTCTTTTTCATAACTAAATTGAATATCGGTTTTTCTCGATTTAAACGGAAAGCGTTGCAACGAATTTAATTGTTGGGTCATTTTGCACGATAAAATGATAATTCTTGGTAAAGGGTGGTTTATCTTTTTCAAACTGTTGCTAAATTTGCAGGAGTATAAAGCGTTAATAACGAAAGGTCCTTCAGTTGAAAAATGGAGCTGAAATATAATAACAGAGACATTTATTTAATCAAATGATATAGAAATACGAATAAATTTCAAAAGTTATAATAGTAGTGTCCTTTTCTGTTTTAAAAATAAGTTTTGAATTGCCAGAAAAAATATTTAAGACTGATTTATTTCATCCAAACCGGCCAAATGAATAGAAAAAAAAAGCACCGAGAAGGATGGAATATCTTGCTCGGAACTTCATGAAAAGTCTAACAGGTGTTATAAAACAAATGTATTATCTTGTAACAGCCTTTACGTCTCTTAAATTGCTGATTCTGACAGGAATCTGCATATTTACATCCCTGCTGAGATGAGACTTGCATATTTTTGTCTGAAGTGTAATCAACAGTTTACTTTAGGTCATTTACGGCCGCTGCCTAGTGGATTTGTATCATTTAAACTTCATAATACGTTTGCTTGACTTATGAAAGGTTTATAAACATTTAATGGCTTATTTTATTCTTTTTGTTTGAAAACAAATCTTTTTTTTTTTCGTTTTTAGTGAAATTGTATAATTTGTTTAATATTCAACATATACATAGTGTTTCTGATTCATTTGTACATTTTATTAAACATGTGTTTGAATTTAAGACTTTCTTCAGTGCACTTTGGTAAAATTTAACGTTCATTTCATGCTGTTACCTAACAAGAATGCACCTTTTGAGGCCAGCACCAGTAATATAATACAATGAAAACTATAGTTCTAAAACATATAATGTCACATTAAGACGAAGAATTTGCAGATAAATAATTGTGATAATTTCGAAGTTAGGAAATTTAAAATAACATAATCGTTATAAATGATGATATTGTAAAACTTGAGTTAAAATATATTTCACTTTGTCCTTCATTTTAACAGGTATGAAAATGTGACACACTAGTTCAAGTATAATATACGCAAGTTTTAACATTCTTTAAACGATTTTATAAGGTAAGATAATATACTGTAGGGGATTAAAGGGTATAAGTAAGTTGAGATTATTGTCAAATATCAATAATTAGCTCGAATTGGAATGTGGGGCAACGTGCAAAATATTTAAAGATAGTGCCTGAGTGGACTCTTTTTGTGACATTCAAACATAATACTTCTAAATAATTATAGAATATCTTCATCATTATGAACATTATCCTACGGCAACTATTAGGCCCCATATTTCCAGTCACAAAATAGAATAAAAAAAAACTTTTCTAGCAAAGGAAGTTAAATGTGCAATATGCATTTCATATTATCAGTTTCATGGTTTTTTAAACATCTGTATATTTTCATGACATATTTACAATATTCAGTTTACATTTATATATTTAATTGTACTATTATTCTATTTATGGTATATTTGTAAAATTTAAAGCATATGCATGATCAAGAACCTTTTTTTATACAGTTTTATATGCGAATATCGTAGGTCGTAGTCATGCGAAGTAATAAATATAAGAAATATGATCTAAGCCTACAAACTGGAACTATGTTAGTTAAAAAATAGATACTACGCCAAAAATGAAAGAAATATAAAGAATATAAAACGAAACCGGAAGTAGGCATATACCAGATAATCACGAGTTATCATGTTCATTCATATATATATTTCTTATAATTGTCTCTGTATATTTTCAGATATTTTATGACGATTACCAATCAGATGCTCCTGCTGCTCCAAATATGGCGTCGGAAGATGTGTGTCCACCGGTTCCGGATGTTGTATCAAATGACGCATGTGCAAACAATTCGTGTCAAAGAGATACCGATTGTTCGGATGGGTACAGATGTTGTTTTACCGGATGCTCTTTTACTTGCCTTCTTGAAGTTCAGCCAGCCGCCCGTAATTCCTTATTATTTCATTCCTTCTCAAAATTGTCTATTATTCCTCGATTATACGAGGAGAGTAAAAATGTTACATTGTCAGATTTCTACTAAATAAATTCTTTTTTCCCAAGAAGACACAATTTTAGCAAGATTTCTTTTCCTTAAAGAAGCAAAATTGAAACACATCAGAAATTTATTTTTGTAAAATTTTGATAAATATTTGAACCACAGTTAAAATGTTCAAGTAGTTAAAATGGTCAATCGCTTTTCTTTGGTTTCAGAGGCTTTTAAAAGATAGTACATTATAAATATTTCTATTACATAAATTAAACATCTCAGATGATAAATAAGAATTTTGTTGATCTTATTGATCAAAGATAGTTAGTGTTGTTTTCTTTCTTAGTTGTCGACTGGCGGAAGGAACCAAGAAGATCAAGATCTGGTAAGGTACTTGTTAATCTACATCTGTACTTTAATTATTTTCTTGAATGACGACTTCTTTTATATTTTATTTCAGTTTTGATCATAATAATGTATCATTTTTTAACATAAATTTTTGTGTAACAAGATATACAGCGCTAAGCTCCTATTTAATTATTTCCAATTCATTTGGTCACAGATAAATAAATTGTAGCGTATGTTATGACGACTGATTGATTGATTTATTTATTGATTGATTGATTGATTTCAATCATTTTATTTATTGTACATTATTTTAAGGAATCTCCTGGTTGATCAACAAACCAATTACTGACGATTCCTCCAATGAAGGTAATGGTACTGTTATTTTAGTTTTGTCAATATTGTCAGTTTAATATTCTAACATATACTTGCATTTGTCAGATTCAAAATAACCGGTCTCTAATTTTCTATCATTTGGTTTTATTATTCGCTGCTCTGAAGGGACTTTCCTTTCAAGTATGAGATAATATCGAGAAAGTTACCTGAATTGTCAATATCTTTATTGTCAAAACATTATTAATAACATTAAACATGTTTTGTTTTTATCTCAAAGAAGTAAACACGCGTTGTAATCTTTATTGAGTTTATAATGGTCTAATCCAAACATAATTTTTGCAGTTGAAACATGCAGCACCAGTCCCATTGAATCTGACGAGGACCCTCTATTATGCCCCCAGGGATATTTCTGTCACGTGACCGATCCTGGAAATATAAAGGATGGAATACCAAACAGTGGATATTGCGTAAAACATAACGAAGAAAAATGTAAGACCTTTTCTGTTTTATATATATAGAAGATTTGATTTTGTGTTAGCCCTCGGAGTTATACATGAAGAATTTTAAAAGTAATAATATTCACGTGGCATGAATCTTATGTCTGGATATATTGCCTGCAAATCTTAGTTTGACTATTAAAATTTCCGGAAAAGATGCGCATTGTAGGCAAATGCAATTTTTTATCAAGCAAGATATTTAATTGAACAGGGCTACAATTATCAAACTGTGTGTCATCTTAATTCAGAAGTTGATTACTACTTTTTAAGTGTCAGTTACCGTCATATTTATCAAACTATACTATTGTTTGATGAGTTATGTAATTTGCTTCCAACAATAAGTTTTGAAGAACGAAATTCTAATTTGTTTCATAATCGCATACATAAAACTCCCCAAAAGATATGTTCCTTTATTGTTACCTTTCAATATGGTATCACTATAGAGGACTGATGTATAATTATTATTTATGGTTGTTTTGAAGATTCCCCTGGAGAAGATAATCTTGTAATTACATCATCATTGAAAAAGAGAAAGACATGCGCAGTTGACGATGTTATATTACTGCATGGTGCAAAAATACAACTGAAAGATAAATTTTGGTAAGTCAAAAACATCGTTTTGTTTACTATAGAAATGTAAATAGTAAAAAACATTTTATCGATAGCAGTAGAAATGTCCGTGAGTGAAAACTCTGAAAATGAATGCTAAGTGTCGCAATCCTTTGTACTGGTCATTTGATTCATACTTGAAGAGAATGAAAACTATTCAACAAAAATAGGTAACCTATAATAACTTCAGACAATTTAGAACATTGTACATTGTGGGTGGAAAATTATGCAAATTGACCTCATTTGTTCTTGTCAGCAATTCATTAACTGACAGCTTGGATAATAAATAAGTAAATAGTCACGAACAGGGAAGAACTTTTGTCATTTTAAGATCATTTCAAATATAAAAAGACGCTTAAATAAACGCATATCATTGCCATTTATTAAAAAGATTTTTATGCGACCAAATATACTTGTTTACTTTTTTCAGTCGCTGTAAAAATGGACATCTTTCATGTAGAGAAAGAGGTAGAACATCTAATATAAAGAAAAAATATAAAAACAATAAAAGTAATACAAGAAATAGAAAAGAAAAACGCCAAAGAAAAGGTACTTTAAAATACCAACATTTTACAATATATCTAAAATGTGTATCACTGTTTATTGCAATGGAACCATCTCACGTTAACCATTACGTGTTACCTGTGGAACCCAAAGTCCAGTCAAGGTCGATTCAAAGGCAACTTACTTCAAACTTTCATCTTCATATCCACAAAAGAAATTCTAAACATTTTGAAACATTTTCACCGTAATCCGTATTTTTGAACAATGTATAAATGCAGACATCGTGCAAAGTAATTATGAAACTACTAAAACATTTCAATTTTACTCGATTTGTTTCCTTGTTGACTTTAATATATTTGTTAGCCGGTTTTAAACTTGTTAATGTGTCAGCATAAACCGGGTATTTTGAAATACGAATTTCCATCCTGTTATTGACTTTGATTTTTAATTTTTCGGATTCATGTGACCGTTTGTTTCCTACAATTTTGATTTCGTATATTATCTTAATATTCTCGTGTTTCAGGTAAAAACAAGATGCATTCCAGAGAGACCTGATAAACCTACTTATCTAGTTACACCTACATGTATAGCAATGAAATAATTTCCTTGCAGCTACAAAACAGCACCGTTACATATACTGGATTGAGCTCGCCAGTGGAGGAAATGACATCATAGAATTGTCATTCCTGTGACAGAATTGATGTACATATTGGAATATTCTACATTCTAATATAGGAAGTGTATACAAGAATTTGAAAATCCCATGATACGAAATTACTGAAAATACATTGAAATTCATTTACAGTGTTTTTAAATCACATCTGAATTAGAAATACATAGTTCTTATTTCTTATGTTTATGTTTTTAACACACGCTTCTTTAGTTTCGCTTTTCGCAAATCATTGTTACAACTTCCATCTTGAAAAGAAATTCATAATGTTTTATTATTTAGAATCACTTTGTGCCTATTTTGCAAAATGTATGTAATGATTATTGTTAATAAAAACTATGTTATGTTATGTCTACAAAATGTTTATTCTGAATATAATGCCTACGGTCCCAAACATGTATTAGAAAACCTCTTGATTTTTTTGTACTTGCAAATTTAAACAGTTTAAATAATCTGAATAATACATGTATATCAAGTTAAACACAAAGAGTTTATCACATTAAGGTAAAGGAGAACAAGGTTCCATTTCTATAACACTGTAAAGGGTGTGGTCTATTTAATGTTTTTGCCTTACTAAATTGTACAAGGCCATGTCATTCATAAATGCAAACAATAAGTGAGGAAAATTACTACATCTATATCATTGTTAGATAAAATTTACTTTTCTCTCTTTCTTTCTTTCCTTTTTATTTGATTTCCTTTCTAAGAACAATGCTATACCTATATATATCACCAATGGTTTATGACTTTCCTTTCTTACTTTTAAACAACCAGTTTTTAAGAAAGTTATTATGAAATTATATAACGATATGTTAAAACTACCCGTGAAAAACATTTACACTGCAGCTCCGTATTAAAATATAAAACACTACTATATACATATTTAATTGAAAGTAAAACATTTGTTCTTTACCGACGAACGGTTTATCATCTTGTTTGGCTTAAAGAGGTACAATTGCAAATGATAAAGTGCAAGGTTGTTTATCAATACCGAATAACATTATATTAATTATTCAATGAAGAATTACGCGTAAACCATCGTTTCTGTAATCAAGTAAGATCAGATGAAATGGATGTTTAAGTATAGGTTCATATATTGTTTATCTTTAATATATAAAACATATGTTACCAATTATATAAAATTCACAAAAATAACTGGAAATAACTGGAAATTAAATCAATAGCAGGTTTAATGGTGCTTCTAATGTAATGACTCCACTTTGAACCAGCAACGACTATAGATAGGTTGAATAAATGAATAAATTTTAAATCAGAAGAAGCGGTAAAATTTGTTAAGAAGAATAAACAGAAAGATTAACCTAGCGGTTAGTTTTAACTTCCGACACAGGGATCACTGATTCGCCAACGAGCCCTAGTGAGGTCACAAAACATGTTTCCTTATATGAAACAAGCACTGGTGAGCGAGCAAGAGGACCCGAAAATCATTCCGATATGCCCCGGGCTTTCATTGGAAACAGTTCTTCAATACAACTGGAGATAAAACCCTGCAGATATTAGGGATTGAATTGTTTATCAAAGAAAAACAAAGTAATTTACGAGGGAAAACAAACTATTAAGAGCATTCAGAAATCGTAACACCCCACAAAAATGCAGTTTTTAGTATGATTTAAACAGCGACTCCATCCCATCCTGGCAATAAACATTTTTTTCTTCTTCCGGTGCTTAATAAAACAAATGTCATATCCAGTTTGCTTTTATAGCCTGGGAATCATCAGACATAATTGGATTAGCAAGTCTACGCCTGAACGTATTACTAGTGTATTCTATATACCAACCTGGTGGTTGATAGCTTTGATCCTTTGATGTTTTAAAGTACAATCAATCAATATAAAGTGGTTTTTTTTGTGAACAAAACTTGGATTTACTCTGTTATTCAATGCCGAATATTACTATTAGACTAAAGAAAATATCTTAAAAGAGCGTCTTTTACTCTTCAAAAAATATTTATTTTCTCTCCCTCTCTTCTGCGAGGGATAATCCAGAATTACCCGGAATTTGTTTATAATTCTGATAAATTTCATGTTGTCTTCATTGAATTGCGTAAAGTTTGATGATTTATCTATTCAACTGGAAAAAAATATTGGTAAAAAGGCATCAAGTACCGTCTCAGGCGGTCTTAAATAACCATGGAAACGCCACAGCGGCGCAGCCCAAAGAACGCGAAATACATTAAAACTTATAATGCGCCAAAGTGCCTGATACAAAAATGGATGCGGTCCAAAATATGTCGGAGCTTGGTGAAAAACGCGAAAAGGCCATGCTAAAATTTCACGTCATTTTGGACAGTGTACAGACTATTACAAAATCAAGTTTCAATGGTTTTAAGATGGAACGTTTACTTATCCATTAAGGTGTCCGGAAAACAGCGATTTCATAAACATTGTTAACAGTTCGGATAGTCTCCTTAAAACACATCGAATGCGACAAAAGAAGCCCGACAGAAGTATCTTGCTAACCAAACAAACGTTTTTGGTTGAAATAGAAAGTTGGTCATATCTTAAATATAATACATTTCGTTAGCAGAATAGAAAAATGCGTATGACGTAAACGTTCTCTGTCAAGTTGGCCTTTGAAAAAGGATTTAACTCATTACAGGATTGGAGGAGTACCTCTAGACGCTTGCAGAAATCATGATCGCAAAATAAACAAATATCGTTTTTTTTTCCAACGATTAACACATTTTTCATTCATAATCATACATGTCGGTGTGAAAAGATGAATGTGACCTTTTAGTTTAGTTCATTCCGTAAAGTAAAAGGCAAGATTTTAGCTTTCAAGCGCCTTGTCCGGAATACGGTATTTATTGTGGTGCTCCAATTCTTTTTTCAGTCTTACTCCTTGAACAAATACAATGTATGTGCTGTCATGCGTGGCTTTGCAGGAACTTTAATGCGATTTAAAATAAAAATATAATAAATGATTTGCATATATTAAAGATCTATTTACTAGGTATTATTTTATTCATACAAATCGTGTTCTTAAAATGATTGAAATTTAGTAAATCTTAGTGCGGTTTCGTTTGCTTTCTAATCCAGGAATAATACTGCCGTATGCTCATTACTATGCTTAGAAACGCATGTGTTGGCCATTCTGTTTTAATTGTTATATTTGTTCTTTCCTTGTAAATGTAATATATAACATGTATGTATTAATGTAGTGTTTGTTATATAAACTATCATCAATATTATTGGATTTATGGCTTAACTCCATGTGTTTCTGGATCATCCCTTTAGATTGTTGTTTGAAATTTACGGAAAAGGCGTTCCATCGAATTCACAGTACCAATTAAACGTATTAACTTTTTAAGGTACTAACTCCATGTAAGCCAGGAACACGCCCATGTTCTACTGACACATTGAATCATCCATACATCATCATTATCTTGTCACTTAAAGCCAGTTATTCCGCGGTTAAATGTTACCTGTTAACCTGGTAAGCGACCTACATCTTGATACTTGTCGGATTTCAGACTCCTATAATAATGACATAAAACTAACATCAAGTAAAAACAAAATAGAACATTTTCTGAGCAAGCAAAATATGGTTGTAATGAAATTAATTATTTCGTGTTTATTTCATTTATTTCATTATTCCTTTGCCCATTATATATACACTTTATTGATGAATAACCATTGGGATGGAAAAAAACTATATGCATGTACTTATTATTCGTTTTCATGGTTTAACAATAATTGAAACAAAATTAGAGACAAACGCATTCTGGCTACTAGCATGAATCTTTCAGTTTGGCCTTCAGGCTATGACTGGCGTTAAATACAAAATCCCCATATCATCATTACCAACAAGTGGGAGATTGTTCAATTTCTAACAAATATCAATGATAGCTAAGTTATAGAGTATCAATTTTGATAAAAAAAACACTAAACATTGCCAGTTACACTTCTCGTTGGCCAAAAAGTATTGACCCAGACTATCATATCCTATTGTGTTTTTAGTTCCAATTTGTTCTTTTGACAATTATTAAGTTTGAATATGAATATTTCAAATAGGTTCCCAAAAATATAACATTATTGATTGAATATTGCTACTGAATACAATTTTCTCTTGGCAACTGATACGAATATATATTTATTTCAATTAGTTTTCACATCAACGTTACATATTAGATTGACTTTGCAGTGTTTTACAGTACATTTAAATGCAGACTTTCTTTCAATACCACAACATCTTCGACATTTCATAACCCTATCATTGTTACGTGGTGCAATTTGGCATCAATATTAAAATGAGGGTTTACAAAATGCATGAATCTGAAATTTCTAGCTATTTGAAATTTACATTAAAATGCAATCAACTGTTTTTCTTTTCTTTTTTTTTTTGAAACAGGTGTCCGTATGATAACAATCGATATCGAGTAAACATTCTCATAATTTTAGAAGATATACAATCAAAGTCTATAAAACCTAATATTTTTAAGCGCAGACATTTCATTTTTGTTGAAATTCAAGAAACCGGTAGCTATAGGTAGCATGCTTTGCAAATTACATCCGTTTTATCGTGGTTCATGTGAATTTATTGGTGTGTACAGAATATTATGCACAGTTTTTGTATATAAATTGATTTTGCCCTGACCATTTGGTGAACAAAATACACACATAAGATGTTAAATTTCCAACAGGTCTTTGACCATCTTTATTTCCTTTGAGTGGTTCCAGTTTCCTTTTTGAATATTGTTTAATCACAGAAAGATATTTCCTACGTTTTGAATTTATCTTTAAACGTGTTCTTGTGTTACAGCTGTTTCTAAGTTGTCACACGGTCAAATATTTCCTCAGGCAATCTTTAAAGTTATTATCTTACTTTCTAAATTGACTTCGCATCAATGACAATTAACACCCGACATTATATGGTCGGTTTAAGTTTTTTTTCAATTTTCATTCTATATTTTGATGGAAATCAAGTTCACATCAATTATCGTTAAGCATGCTTTAGATGAAATATATTGATATAATAAAATATCAACAGATGGAATTTCTTTATATTTACAAATCAGTTCTTTACATTTAAATATTTGTTAGGCAGGAACACTGCCAACAGATGCATTATGTTTGACCAACATTTAAGCTTCATGTACTCAATTAAACTTGAAGAAAATTTAGCAATAGGCACACAATCAAAAAATACTTTAGATATTGTAAAGATAAGTTCAATGCAAATATTTGTTGGATGATTAAGCTATTCAACAATTATGGAATGAGTCTAATGAATTATAATTGTTGCATCAAAACATTTACTTGCATATAGATTCATCAAATATGACAGGTTGCAAATTGTTACTTTTTTTATCGGATGATTCTATTGACAACTTTAGTTTGCACTTCTGTCTCTTATTGCAAAACATAAAAATAAACTGTAGAAACTATGCTATGATAGAATCACACATTTGCAAATTGCCTATTGCTATATTGACCTTTTGATATGATGATTTACTCAAATTAACTGATGGCGGTGAAATGTACCTTTATATATAAGCAATTTGTCTATATTATCTTTGGTATTTTGATTAAATCAATCATTTGAGAACATTGACCACATTTATTTTCGCTTTTATTTCTGGATATATAAATTAAAACATGTTTTACTACTGAGTTTCACT